GCGGACACATCAGCACTGAAGGAGAATTGCAAGACTCTGTGGCAGCTGCGTGCGGAAGTGGAAATGCTGGTGTTGCTGAAGGGAATGGTAGCACATGCTGAAAAGACCAAGGAAATTGGACTAGATGTGATAGCAGGTTCCACCTCCCTGCAGCCGTGCCACCACCGACGGGCAGGCGAACTCAAGATGCAGCTGGAGCTTTCAGTAAAAGCAGCAAGGCGAGCAGATAGCCTTTCTGATGTCGTGCAAGCAGTCGGCGAGTATGTTTCCTTTAGCGAGGCGCTGTTGCAACTGGCGTTGACAGCAGTGCTAGAAGGTCTGCTCAAAAACGACCCACCAGCTGCAGCAGAGGTGTAGGCAACTGGAGAAGCTAAGCAGAAACTGCAATCCGCCACTGCTCAAGTGGCTTAAGATGGCGAAGCAGAACCGGAAAGGTACGAATTCATGCAGCAGCAAGCTAGCAACAGCACGAAACAAAGAAGACTTTGGTGGATAAATAACAGTAGAAACAGCGGCAGAAGCAGCCAAAGGACAAGAGGGCCGTGCAAAAGGTGAGGAGGCCGATGATCACACAAGCTAAGAAACAGCCCCAGACAGTGAAGGAGACGAAGGAAGCGAGAGTGGAGGCGAGTACGTGGATACACTAGAGTGGTCAGGAAGGTCATAAAGACCGCAAGTACAATAGCGTGAAGGAGAAGAACAGCGTGCGCATGAGAGGGATGCAGTCGGCAAAGACAGAAACAAGAGAACTGCATTTGAGGGCGCTTGCGAAGTAATTCGGAAGTACGTCAGAAATATCATGGTTGTGGGGATTCTTCAGGAGAGGACAAAGCAGCACTAGCGTATGGCGTAAAAGAAGGCGACGTTGAAGAGAAGGATGATGACGGAGTACTAATGGAGGCGGCAGAGTTGTGGGCAATTTGGTGGCTAGATAGGCAGAAAAGAGGCAAGAGAACAAGGGAAGTAAAATGGAAGGAGAGGAAAGAAAAGCAAAGATCCGACTGTGAGATACGATGCCCCTCGGTTTCTCTTCTTAAAAGCTGGAGACAGAGAAGAGAACAGACGAAACAGGTAACAGGACGGAGGTGCAGAGACACTGCAGAGCTGCTCATACCCACAACATGTTGGGTGCAGCGTCCGTGAAATACAGCCATCGCGTTGAGTGCAGGCTATGAGATGGCAGAACGGAAAGAGAAGGCATGGGGGGGGGGGGGGGGGGGGGGGGGGG